GCCTTTTTATATTAAAAAAAGGGGCTATCGATTATATATGCTTCTAGAAAGTATTAAGGTTATGTCTTGTGAAAGTATAGGAGAACATATGAGTACTCAATGATTGTAATTTTTTTTTTAATAAGAACCATGTTTCCCATTTTGGAACAATAGATAATAAAAAAAAAATCACTATATGAAATAGTATAACATTGTGAGGTAAATAAATATTAACATAATTTATTTTTCTCGAAATCAATTTAAACTATCATGAGGTAAGTAGGTAAATTTTCACTGTTTGCATCTTGATTTTTAAATTTCATAGTTTGATAATGATAGACATGATTATTACCTTTTTAGATATTATTATTTTGTAAAATAGATTTTCTTTTGTTATAAAATTTCCACAATGATGCAAGCAGCAAGGATAGTTACATACGATGTTTCATGGAGAGTTTCAAGAGGGACCCCATTTATTCATTTATTGCCTTTTTTTTGTTGACTCATATTTCATTACCCATATTCTTTTCACAATCTGAAAAATTAATTGCTTGTACGATTGTACTTTCAGATGACCCTCCCTAATTATGTGTAAATATGTCTATAATAGTATAATTACATAAAAATCTTGATTGACATATAATGTACTGATTTTTGTGTAATTTCTTTCCTTTTAAAAAAAATCAATACGTTAAATATCTATAGGATTTGTTCATTAATGAATCAGTTTATATATCATTACAATCTTTACAAGTAATTCCATTACTATAGTTATGATATCGTAATATTGAAAATTTAAATCAATACATGAATCATAAAAGCAAAGTCAAGTTTGGCTTATAACAGTTCAGAGTAAGATTTTGACTGAAATTCTTGACTAAGAACTTGAATGCTTTCTTTTTAATTTGATCCCTTTTTACAAAGTATTTAATAATTTAATAATTTGAAATCAGTATATTTAAACAAAAAGTTTCAACGGACGAATTATTTAATCTCAGCTTAATGGCAACAGTGAGCTATGACGAATTTTGCTTTATAAAGTTTAATTACAATCAGATCCCAAATTATAAGTTTGTTACAACCAGACCCTATTGTTTAAATTTTAATCATCCAAGTCCCAACACTTTCAAACCATTATGGAAACAAATATAGTTTGACGGATTTAGGGGCCCTTATTCGTAGATGGACTTATGTGGATTTTGTAGATTTTGAAAATTCTGAGATTTTATAAATTTTGATGGATTATCATTGATTCTTAAAAGATATTCCTAGGATTGTTATTGATTTGTCATAGATTGATATGGATTTATATTAACCATTTTCTATATAAGGTAATATATAAGGTATCCCTTTTTATATACTATGTGAGCATAGC